TATTTCTAGGATTTTTCTATTTCTTTCGTGGAACAAGGCAATACAAACTTGATCCCAGAACAAAGAGAATTTTGACTCTCCTAAAAGCTAACAGCTGGTTCAACTGCAGAAAAAATTGACCAACTGTTACCAAGTGAAACAGAAAAATATATTTCACAAGTCCAAGGAAGGTGTTTTCCTGAAGAGCCATATATTTAAGTGAAATACAGCATTATTAAGTATAATCTTATTTATACCTCATTTTACATGTGTCTTTTTTATGATTTAGAATGTAATGTTTTATGTACTGCTATAATTTAGTTCCACAAATGAGGGCTAAGTAAGGTCAAGTTCATGGCTTATGGATTCAGATGGGCCAGCTTTGCAATGAGCGAAACTCTTTTCCAAAATATGAGATTTTGACATTGATACTGGAGAGCAGACTCAGTCATGAACATCTCCTCTCAAGACAAAAAGAGACAAGAGACAGGAGTCTTCACCAGAGGAAGAGCAAGTCTAGGACGTATGAGCAGCCACTACTGTCATCCTAATATGCAAGGGACAACTTTTGTTCCAAAGTGTTTTATGTTTGAAATAAAGCCATCCTTCCCTCTATTTTGAGTTATTGTATTATTATTTCCTGATTATCAAGTCACATGCACAGAGATTAATTTGCAAATTTGAAAGGGGAATTAGACAAATATACAAAATATTCATGTGGAAAATTAGGATATATTAGAAGTTCAACTATTCTCCATTCTCATGGATTTACATCATGGAGAAGGAGGAAAATCTACCTCCCAGGTCCCATACAAAGATTTCAAAACTGGTTTTAGGTAAGAGCAGTGACAGGATGGCAGAGCTTTCTGGGGACATGTCCTTTTCTCCTCTCCCGAGCACATGGAGGGGTTATGTTCCTCCACAGTCCAGCTCCCCACAGATGCGGGAGGGAGGGGTGGGCAGTAGCATCTGACTAGTCCTGGCCAGTGGATTGTGCTCAGAAGTGACTGATATCACTTCCACATGGAAACATTTGATCTCTGGTGTAAATTTCTCCAGTGGTCCCTGGCTCTGCTGTGGTGATTACAGAAGCATGTCTTAAGAGAAGAAGTCTAAATTGCTGGGCCAACACTCCCAACAGTTACCCCAAACCTCAGTAGATTTTGCTTAAGAAATAAACTTCCATTGTGCTAAGCCACAAAAATTTTAGATTTTGTTAAAGCTGAATAATCTAGTTTTTCCAGACAAGCATGATCTAATTTAGTATGCCGAATTTGGGAGGATGTTAATGTAGGTAGGAATCCTGTAGGGAACTTCCGAGCTGTATGAATCTTCTGAGTAGCTCAGAGATCCTCACAGTGTTTGCAGACTTTCCAAAGTACATAAGACTTGAGAATATTTTGAAGTATTCATAATTTAGAGGCAGGCAGTTCTCAACTCAAAAATTTGGACAGCATGTAACGTTCCCTTTTGATCAAGTCTCTCACCAATAAATGTTTTTATATTAAAGTATTTTAACTTTTTTCAGTTTGTGACTTAGCACAATCACCAAACCTATCACAAAATCAAGAGTTTCCAATGAAAGAAGATGCAAAATTTTGTGATTAGTATCATGTCACACCGAGAATCAAGTGTGTATATTTCCAATTTTAGAATCAGAGGCTCTTGAATGTTGGAATTTATAGGTAATCCGTTTTCCCAAGAATTGGACCACCTATAACTGAGGAGCTGTTATACATCCCTCAGTCTTAGTTACAGGATGTGATGGACTCTGTATAACACCTGTGCAGCCCAGGCCAGGAGCTGCAAAGGTAGACACTGATCAAAGAAAAGGCTAGATTAGCCAGGGGATCAGCTAGTTGGGGAAAAAGAACAGACGCTAAGGAAGTAAGTTGAAGGAAAGTTTGGGGTCAGTATCAAGAATGAGGAAAGCAAACAAATAATGTCAAAACATGAGAAAAAAGTTGAGGGAGAGCCAAGGTTCAAGCCAAGAGGTCTTGATAGACACATAAGTAGTAATAGGCTTCTGAGCAATCTCTTACCACTTGATAGCGGACCACGAGTTTATTACTTAATATTTTGATCCTAATCTCTACCACTTTGGGTTGTTCTAAAAGATAAGAAATAACACACATGTAGGGCCTGGTGTACAGTAGCAGCTCTAGACTTCATAAGGTTTCACCTTTTTCTGAAGAGCAAGCCTCTCCTTGCCAGACTGTACACATACTCCAGTAATTTTAATAAGTGATGAATGACTTAAAGACAAACACAAGATTTTTGCCACCTCAAGTCATTAATTTCTTTCAGACATGGTGGTTTAATGTAGGATAAGTTTGCACACCAACATCACTCCCGTGAGTTGTGCCAAGTGCAATCATGGCTCTTACTACAACACTAACTTTCATTACATCATTACCACATTAATAAGATCCATCAACACCAGTAAAATTATGACTCAGATAGAAATGAGGCATCACAGAGCTTGTCAAATAAGTACCTGACAGCATTGCCACAGATTTTTCAGGCCAACAGGCTTTGTCTAGTGAAGATACTGAAGTGAATAATGTTCCCCAGCATCTGACTCACGTGCCAACTTGGTGAGTGACGTTACATCTACCCTATTTTTATAGATGGTAAAACAATGGCCCACAGAAATTGTAGACTTGTTTGTAGTCCAGCTGGCTTTCTCTAAGTCTGGTTGTCAGCGCCTCCCAATCCTGATTTTCAAGCTAATATCCATTCCACTCCCCCAGGCTGTAGAGCAAATTTCTTGGCTGCAGTAAGCCACAGGTTGACTTAACTGGTCCAATGGGTACTCAAGCTTCTCTCCAACTCTGGTTTGGAGGTCTCAGAGCCACCGGTTTCTAGAAATCACACTCTGTCCAGTCCACTTCAAGTAGGGTGTAGGTGGTAGGTGGTACTCAGAGGACCATTCCTGCACACTCGTTAATATACTGTGCCATCACTTTGAAGTTACACACTTCAGGTACGGTAGAGTGAATTTATCTTTAGCGAGAGAAAAACAATTCTATACTACAAGAATTTTAGGGTCCTCTGTATTAATAGGTTAATTTGATAAGACAGTTATGCAGACTTACTATGTGAAAAGCACTATACATGGCTGAGAAAAAAGAGAGAGAGAGAGAGAGAGGGAAGAGAAATACAATTCATGGGCAGAGAGGAGAGGTTAGATGGAGAGGAACTGAAATAATTCCCCACTAAAATTCTCAATCCACTTCCTTCTTCGTACTTGAGGAGGAGAGAAAGAAGATGGAAAGATTTTTAAAAAGCAAAGAAGAGGAGTGTAGGAGGGACATTTCAGTCTGATGTGTAATTTGATTTCAATTTAGCAAGTTTTTATGGACTAGTTACTATAAGCATATCTTGCATTCTGAAATCCGTAACATCCACTCAGAATGAAGCATCCCTTCAGAATGAGTGAAGCTCAAAGCAGAATCAGTGTCCTCCTTCCTTCTTCTAGACACCCCTCTTCCATAGCCTGCTTCCTTCCCCAGTGCTCCTCCTCCGGGGCCAGTAAATCCATCTGAAAAGTCAGTAATAGCTGTTTTAAACAGGGACTCAAGAAATGGAATGTGTCTCCAAGCAGCAACGTCCACATTTAGACCACCAATGTATCTGAAATTTCTTTCCATTCATCTATTTATTCCTAACCTACTTATATTTGAGTTTTAGATATAGTCTTTTTTTTTTAAGGCCCTGGTTTTAAAGTCTAAACATCTGACACTTTACTGAACTTAGCAGCTACCTCTCAGTAAACACACAAACATGAATTATCAGTCAGTTCTATTTCCTCTTTATAAACACAGAATCATTTCCTGAGAGATGACTCGTTCTCTCACCAGCCAAGAAGGTTGAGGGAAATTACTGATGCAGGCTACAGCACCTTTACATTGAATAGCTGTGAACACTCCTTGTGTCATTCAGATTTTTTAAAAGCGCATGCATGACCACGCTGTTCGGATAAAAGCTGTGTTGCCCCACAAAAGGACGGCCACAAGAGAGCAGGCACAGAAGCCAAGAGGCGAAGCAGGTGTTTTCCTGAGCTAAGGAAGTGAGAAGGAAGCCTCTTGCCATCCTCGGGCAGCGAGGTCTGCCAGGCAGCTCGGCTTAGCCACTGAATGGAGGTGTGAAGAAAGGGACTTAAACATGGACCTTGTCCAGGTATGTAATGGTGGCAGCCACTGCAGCCACCGGCCATCCCAAGTGGAGCAGCACACACGCCTGCCCGGCCTTGCAGAGGAAAGCGGGATGGTTTGGCTGGCAGTTGCTGTGTTGGAATCATTTAGCATTAGGCAGTGTCAAAGTGCTGGAGGTGGAAGGTCGCTCCCTTTTAACGCAGAAAAGGGGAAAGGTGCAGGAATGAGATAACATTACTCAAGATTAGAAAATAAGGTAGGAGCAGCAGCTTTGGAGCTAAATGAAAAGAATAAATGGAAAATGCTTGTAACTTCACTGGCTTTAGAATTTCCTCCGTTGAAATAATTAGGGAGAAGGTACGTGTTCCTTTTGAGCTTTAAATACTATCAAGTAATAATGTTCGTGTTGTTACTTGACAACTTGGAACGGAAGTATTTCAGTTCCATCTTGAAGCAGGTCTGTGTTAACAATGTAAAGGTGAAAAAGTCAGATACATTCACCCAAACTACCCACATTGTTAGGTCAAAGGGTGGCTTCTTTTCCTGTAAGCATGCCGGACCCAAATTTTTAATTTCAAGCTCCTTACTTGGAGAACAGACTGAACTGTAATGAGATTTTAAAATTAGTACAAAGATAAAATAATAATGGGGATCAATAAAAATAACATTAAGTGTCACACTTTTCTTTCAATAAAAACTAGATAATAACTAGTTGCTATGAAATTTGGGTAAATGGATGAAAATAAATAAAATGAACTTAAAACTATACTTTTTGTTCCATTAACACCACCTAGAAAAATACTATAATCTAGAAAAAAGAGGTGAAAGAGTTTGTTACAAGGAAGGACAGCAGTCCCCTTGTTAAAAAAAATACAAGAAATGCAGAGGTTCCTGGGGTTGGAGGTGACGGGGGAGCTGGACTCCAACACTCTGGAGGTGATGCTCAAACCCAGATGTGGGGTTCCTGACGCTGGTCACTTCAGCACCTTTCCTCACACGCCCAAGTGGGGGAAAACTCACCTCGCTTACAGGTGATGGGTTCCAAGAGGCTTTGACACAATACCAGGATTTTTATAAATTACAATCACAGGAGAAAATAATCTTCAATTTTTCTCTTAGAGGATTGTGGATTATACACTGGATTTGCCAAGAGATGCTGTTGATTCTGCCATTGAGAAAGCTCTGAAAGTCTGGGAGGAGCAGTCTCTACTCACATTCTCTAGGATTTATGATGGAGAGGCTGACATAATGATCCCTTTTACATTTAAAAGTAATAAAATAAAATAAAATGTACTCACTTACCTGATATTGTTGTATTGAAAAAGAGCAAAATGAAATTCTGAATTCTTATTTTTCCATTATTTTTTTTTATGCTACAACATGGAGACTTTGATAATTTTGCTGGACTTGGTAAAGTTTTGGCTCATGCCTATCCAGCAGGGCCCGGTTTTTACAGAAACGTTTACTTTGACGGTGATGGACAATGGGCGGAAGATAGAGCAGGTGGGTCACAAACCTCTCTGGATGATTTCAGGAATAATGTCTAACACTATCCAAGAATAATTTGATTACCCAGAATAAGCAGTAAACGGAACATCCTAAGAAAGAAAATTTCTGATTATTTGATGGTAACAACCAGAACCTCTCTTTGTCACAATCGTTACTGAAGAACTTTATAAAATGTCTGTGTTTCCATCTTTGCCCCCAGCAAGCGCAATATTAAAGCACCATTTACTCTTACTCCCACAACTCAGGAACTTCCAGGGGTTTTAGAATAGATTAACAATGTTTCTCATCACTTTAACTATAGTTGATTAAGGTAGAATTAATTACATCGAATCAGGTTTGACCCTAAAATGTACCCTTGGGTTTTTCTCTTCCCATTTGCTTCCTTTCCTCTTAAAAGTAAAGATTAGAAAAAATGCCAGGAAATAAAGTAAATTTCTAGTTCACCTGCTCAAATAAATTTGCCATTGTCTCTAGCTTAAGAGACTTTTTCTCTTTCTGAATTGGTTCTCGACAACTTTAGTAAGTTTAAATACAATAATCAAAATTAACTGCGTTTTACAGTCACGCCTCTGTGAGCGCACAGGATTCGTTCCAGGATCCCCCAAGGGTACCAAAGTCTACACACGCTCAAGTCCCTCACATGAAACGGCACAGTACGATGAATACAGCTGTCCTTGGTTTCCTTGGGTTTGGTAGCCACCTATTCAACCAACTGCTGACTGAAATCCAATCAACAACTGATTGAATCCGTGGATGAAAAATCTGCGGATATGGAGGAGACTGACTATTTTTTTCCAGTAGCTTCTGAAGTTTGGAAACACACGGAGACAACTGCTATTTTCAAGACTGGTTAGGCTTTTTAAAGCAAATGCAAAGAGTATCTTTACTGAGATGCACAGACTTGAACTTTGTGCTGCAGGAAATAGTCTAGCTGTATTTGAACAACTATTCTTTTGTGTATATTTGCTTGGAGCATTGGTAATATAATGTCTACTATTAATTTCAACAAAAAACTCTTTTGTAATACAAAGAAAAACTGTATTCAGCCCTGTTTGTGCTGCAGATAACTGTTGGGCACATTTCTGTTTTAAACTAAAGACTGTGAGCATCCAATGGCACCCACAACTGGGAAGCTTTTTGACAATGAAAAAGTATTTGATTATGAAGAGAAGGAGAGAAACTGAGGCTAAATTCACATAGGAAATAACCAGAGTTTTTGTTGTTTAAGATTTTGAGGATTAAAGCAAATTGCAACTGTCACGTGTTACTAAATTTGAACAGTGACCAACTTTGTATTTTTAGAGGTAATGAGAATGTATTGACATGGTACTAGTCTTAGTCCAACCAAAGAACTATCTTCTAGAAACAATGTTTATCACTGTCACTATAGGAAAAGTGACTTGGTGTCCCTGACCAGAGAGATGGTGGGAAAGTATCTTATATGTTGACTTCAAGCCAACCTTGAAATATACATGGATTTCTATAAAGAGTGGAATATGCCAGTCTATGAACCAATCCATAAATAAGGAAAAGACACTGTGTGAGTCAAGGATGCCCTGCACAGCTGACATGTGTCCTGTCCTGTTGATAGGTTTATGGAATAAATAGCTGTTAGATTCTAAACCTTCATGGTTTTTCAAATAGGGACCAATTTATTCCTTGTTGCTTGGCCATTCACTGGGTATCTTTCACTTGGCCAACATTAAAGCTTTGATGTACTCAGTCCACAACGCACTCACAGACCTTACCCAACTCTGCCTTTCTCAAGATGATTTGAATGGCATTCAGTCCCTGTACAACGAATGATGCTGGAAAAATTAGACATTGTAGCTTTGCAATGATGGTCCTCAGGAAAGCTTTAAAATGCTACATAAAGCATTTGCAACTCAACTTAAAGCACTTGGAGAATGTTTGAAAAGCACATATATTGACAGAAGCATCACATTTCCTAATGTTTGCATCTTCATATCTGTTCCCTTTAGGACCTCCCCCTGCTTCCCCTGAGGACCCCATGGTGCCCACGTAATCTGTGCCTCTAGAACCCGGGACACCAGCCACATGTGATCCCGCTTTGTCCTTTGATGCGATCAGCACCCTGAGTTTAAAAGACAGGTCAGACTGGAAAATTATCTTTTCCTGTCTATTCTTTTGCTGTACAATGCTTAGAGAGGAAACTAGAAACCTGACAGATTTTTAAACAAAATATTTCCACTACATTTTAAAATCCTTCTGATTGGATTTTTTTTCCCGCATTTATCAGTTTCTTAAAATTGTCCAGATCAATTTTTACAGACTACAAGGATGATTCTTGGTCACTAGAATGCAAGCTTGATGAAGGCTGGGGAGTTCATATCTTTTATTCACTTTCATATCCTTAGAGCCTAGAACAGGCCTGGCACATGCAATGAATGTGTAGAACGAATGAATAATTGTTACATACAAATATCATAAATCATACAGTGTCTGCAAAAACCGCTGGTGGATCTTTAGAAGCAGAACTGCATCTTTACCTTTGCTAACAACTGCTGCTATTTAAATTAAATTAATTTTGGAAAAAGTGATATGTGCTTATAGAGCAATAGTAAAATTTCACCAAAAAACACAGACTTAAAAGAAAATGCTCTCTGCCATCCCTGACCTATAGAATCCCCAGTTTCCCCCATAGTGTGTGACCATTGGTACTAATTTCCTTTGTCTTTTTACCAAAATATTCCATTGGCAAATGAGTATAAATATATATCATTCCTGCTACTTTTTTCAAAAATATTAATGGGAACATGATATAAACACTATTTTACAGACTTCTAGAATGGACACCAAACAAAGTAATTATATTGTTAATACATTTCCTATCATATCGATCATAACCCTGGGATGAAATGGAAGAGGACAGTCCAATCCAGAATTTAGCAAAGACTGTTCTCTGTCAGTAACGGAAGCCTCCTCATCCTACCCGATAGTTACAGAATAATCTAGTAAATGAATCCATAATTTAACGAACTCTTGCTAGTGCACATTTGGGGGTTGCTTTCAATATTTTGCTTTTTAAAGCAATAATGGAATCAACAGACTTTTACTTATGTCATTTCACAGGTGTGAGCGTGTCTGTTGAAAAGCTCTAGCACCTGCGGGCTAGATAGAGGTAGAGCTGGAGAAGCACCTCACTGATCAGGTAACATGAAGGTCTTGGACGTTGCCAACAATGGCAGCGCGGACTGGAAGATGGGGGCAGAGATAGGACCAAAGTATCCCTTAGGATGGTTTCGGTACAGACTGACTTACTAAAGGGAATTCCTTGGCTCATCAACTAGCAAGACAAGTCTTTAGGCAGCTTTCAGATGCAGGTTACCCGGCTTCTTCTGCTATTCTCTGGGCTCCGCTCTCTGAGTGACGGCTTTATCCTGGAGGTTGAATTTCCCCATGGTGGCCCGATTACTGCAGGCATTACATTTCTTCAGTGCCTTATCTCTAGCCACCAGATAAGATTTCTCTCCTTTCCTCTGATTGAGCTGTCTTTGTGCGTGGGCCACATGGAGTCAGTCCCTGAGAAAGAGAGAGCCGGACTTCCATGACTGGCTTAGATCCCAGAAGGTGAGGGTGTGCTTAATCCCACCCGAATCACCCTGCTGCTCTTCCACAAGTAAGGAAGCAACATCAACACTTTCGACTGAGAATGACTGTGAGATGAGAAAGTGGAAAGTGCGCACAGACAATCTTGGGAAAACGTTGGCAGAGAAAGCTCTCACAAAAATCTTTTCTCTTATGTCTGCAGACTAGGTAAATGGTTCTAATGAATGCATTTATTTGGCTGCGGAGTAAACAGGAAAAAGGAACTTCTATTTACAGCCCCTGTACAACGTGCTTTATGTGTGTGGTTCATTTAGGCTTCATAATAATACAGTAAATGACAAAGTCTTTCAATTTCAGAACTTAGGCTGCAAAGGATAAACTCTCCCGTGATCGGGAACCCGTGATCGGGAACTGGTGAACAGCCGCCCCGAGACGCCACCTACTACGAAGTCTCTGGCTCCAAAGATCTCGCTCATCTTGAGGTTAGGTTAACAGGGAGCAAATCAACGTCACCTAGCGTAAGTTTGTCTTCATTACACTCTAGTTAACGTCGTTGCTTTTAAGGGCACACAAGTTTGCTGAGATCGTGGCTCTCTTAAGATTGCGGCACCGTCTCCACCACGGTGTTTCCAGCTCTGCAGACCTCGGCTACAGCAATATAGCTGAGGACAGAGAGCACTAAGACAAAAATAGGTTCTGACTCAGAATCTTGACGCTGATTCCGGCTCTTCCCTCAGGACTGACGGAGAAGCCCTTGCTTCACGGCACTTTCTGGAGTTAGATGTTAGGGTCAGCAGTATGAAGTGGGGTCCTTTAGCATCCTATCCTTTAGAAGATAGGGAAATCTGACTCTTGCAGTTCCACCACGCCCTCAACATTGTGTGACCTTTCCAGACTTGTTCCTTTTGCAGCAACCCCCTGGTTCAGATAACAGCACCACCTTCTTCTTGTA